CTGTCTCTCAGACTGTTGGAGGGCCAGACTGCGGGCCCCTAGACGAGTCAGCTGCTAAGCAGAACAGGCAGCTGGGCAAAAACACTCAGCGGGCCGGATAACTGTCCTAGGTGGGCTGCATGTGGCCCGTGGGCCGTAGTTTGAGTACGCCTGATATAGACCATATTCTTTGACTCTAATTCAGTTAATTAGACATTAATAATGAAAAAATAACTTCAAATACCCTTTAAATATACCTGTATGGATTCATTGGTCAAATAAGAAATCATACCTGAAATCTAAACTTTTTTTTTTTAACCTAGATGGTAGTAAAAAGTCTATATATCTTTTTTTTTTTTTTCTTAGAGTCTCACGTTGTCACCCTTTGTAGAGTGCTGTGGTGTTATAGCTCACAGCAATGTCAAACTCCTGGGCTTAAGCAATTCTCTTGCCTTAGCCTCCCAAGTAGCTGGGACTACAGGTGTCAGCCACAACACCCAGCTATGTTTTTTAGCGACAAGGACTCGCTCTCGCTAAGGCTGGTCTTGAACCTGTGAACTCAGGCATTCCACCTGCCTTGGCCTCCCAAGTGCTGGGATTACCGCCATGAGCCACTGCGCCCAGCATATATATCTTGTGGGATGTAGTTTGAGTGGTCCCTAGAGTGAAAGCTGTGGTATTAAATGTTAAAATCAGAAAATAAATGGCAGGCAGTGCCTATGGCTCAGTGAGTAGGGTGCTGGCCCCATATACCGAGGTTGGCAGGTTTGAACCTGCCCCGGCCAAATAGCAACCAAAAAATAGCTGGGCCTGGGTGTTCTGGCAGGTACCTGTAGTCCCAGCTACTCGGGAGGCTGAGGCAAGAGAATCACCTAAGCCTAAGAGCTGGAGGTTGCTGTGAGCTGTGACACCATGGCTACCAAGGGCGACAAAGTGAGACTCTGTCTCTAAAAAAAAAAGAATAGAAAATAAATGGCTAAAATTTATTCCTAAGCCAACATTAAAATAAATAGCAACAGGCACTGCCTATGGCTCAAAGGAGTAGGGCGCCAGCCCCATATGCCAGAGGTGGTAGGTTCAAAACCAGCCCCAGCCAAAAACTGCAAAAAATAAAATAAAATAAAATACAAATAAAAAATATAGCAACAAAATAAACCTGAGAAAAGCATTATAATATATAATATACGGAATAATATATATCAATATTCCATAATATATTATGTTCTTATATATAGTATGCCATATATTATATATACTTACTTACAAACAATAATATGATACATAATATAATAAGAACAAAAATTACTGAATCAGAAAAAGAAACAGTGTTAAAACTAAAATCTGATTCTTTGAAAATACTAATAGAAAGTATAGAGAAAACACTAGTTTAAAAAAATACACCTCCGGCACAACTGATCCAATTAGAGAGGATATGCATAAAATAATATTTGGAATGGAAAAATAAACATTATGGAGAGATATGGCAGAGATTAGAATATATAAAGAGAAAAGTATGAATAGCATTTTGTCAGTGTATTTGAAAATCTAGACGGTATGGATAATTTCCTTGAAAAATATTGTGTCTAAAAATGGATTGAAGAAGAAAATAGAAAACCTGAAGAGATTTATAACCATTAAAGAAACGGAATCAATAGTTAAAAATCAACCCACGAAATGTCTATCCCAGATCCAGACATTTTACCGGCAAGTTCTACCAAACCTTCAAGGAACACATAATTCCAATCTTATACACGCTGTTCCAGAAAACAGAAAAAGAAGGAACATTCACCAGTTCATTTTATGAGGCCAGTATAAGCAAACAAAGGCAACATGAAAAGGGAAAATTGCAGCCAATTTGTCTTATAAACATGAATACAAGAAACCCCAGAATGAAATTAAATGTTGACCCTCATTCGTTCATTCGTCCATCCACTCACTCATTTATTCAGTCAATAATCGTTTATTGAGCATCAACCATGCACCAGTAGGCACTGTGCTGGTACATGGAGAGCAGAAAGGGATGGGAGCTTATGGCTGGGTGGAGGAGATGGGCAATAAAGCAAATGATCACACAGGGTAAGGTACACAGAGGACGTTCTGACAGGGTAACAGTGCATACCGAGGGGCATTCGACCCCGGCAGAGAGGTCTGGGAAAGATTTCCAGGCACACATGTATAGGTATTGGGAGAGTAGATGTGGGAACACTGGTTCAAGTGAGAGATCTAGAATGCAGTAGGAAGACAGATGGATTTAGGAAGTGAAACCCGCAGACCCTCATGATGGACTGTATTTAGGAAGGGGTGAGGAAGAGGATCTCTGGAGTTGCTGGGGTCTGTTCACTGACAGGGAACCCAAGCAGAGATTAGATTTAGGGGAAAGAACATGCATGCAGTCTTTGGACATGCTGAATTTGGGGTGCCTTTAGGAAAGCTAAGTGGAGATGCCGAATAGCAAATTAACCAGACCCTAGGGCTCTTCGGAAGGTCAGGGCTCAAGATTTTAATTTAAGTGGCATCAGCACGCGGGTGATATTTAAACCCAGCCTGGAAGATTGAGTTTCAAGAAGGGAGTGTCCACCATTGTCATGGGCTGTCGAGACTTTAAAAGAGATGAGGACTGACATTGTGCTGCTGGAATTTTCCTAATGTAGGGGCTACATGGAGTAAGCGGATTGGAGAAGAAATGCGTAATAACGAGAACAATAATAGTGATAAGCTATTAAAATAATGTAGTGCAAAGGGGCAACACTGTCCCAAGTCCAGGGCCATGAAATAGTTCTGCATCTTGATTACAGTGGTGGTTACGTGACTCTGCATATGTCAAAACTCAAAATTATAGGCCAAGAGGCATAAATGATACCACATATAAATTAAACATAAATAAGCAAAAACAATGTAGTAAGGGGGACTTAAAAATCTAGTTCTTTCTCAGCCACTGACTTTGTAATGCAGCACTAGCCCCTCTTAGGATTTTAAATCAGTTCGGTTAAGTGTCAGCTTGTGTGGGTCTATGCTAGGGAACAAGGAACCTTACTTCTGCCTTTTGAAGGACAGAGTAAACATGAAGGCAGCAGAGCCAACGGTGGCATTGGACCAATAGCATAGCCCCCCTTAGGAAATGACAGGCTGGGGTGGGGCAGAGCCTGGTGAGGTGAGTTTGGCACCTCTGAGATCCTGTTGTAAAACGGGGAGGGGGGGTGATCAAGAAAGGCCCTTTCTACCAAGATGGTCTGTGGTTCCACTGTAAAAATTCAAAACACAATCTAATTAGCTCTGTTGTCTGCATTTTGTTATTGAGAATAATCATAATAAACAATTATCATCATAACAACTGGCTCTGAAGCCTCAGATGATTTGGGAAGCAGCATGGAGTGATGGGAAATGCTTGCGTATGTGGTTGAAAGCCTTAAAACACCTTCTAAAAATCGTATTGAGTAGTGGTTGACAATAAAGACCCATACAGGTTTTACAAGGAAAAAAAAGGAACTTTTATAACATTGATTCACTTCAACTCCTTACCCCTACCCCACGGATACTGTTAAGCAGGAATTATCCCAATTTAAGGGACAGGGAGATTATCAGTCTGTCACCCAAGGCTTTCAGTGGTGTTAAGATTTTCCAAGTATTTCATTTTTCCAAGACCCACAGTGGATTTGGTATAGTTTTCATGTTGAGTGTATTCCACTGTCTCCTAATCCTATGAAAATTCATGGAAAAGTGTTAATTGGTCATCAATTCATGCTTAACATTAATATGAGTATTTGATGAACCACAAGTTTTATGTTACCCCTCATGCCGTATTAACTCAGTTTATTGTAATAATTTAAAACAATAAGGATAATTGCATTCTTATTGTTTTTAAATACTCTATAAATTGGATCCAGCCTCAATTTGGCTAGCCTGGAATCGGCTAGAGAAGTGTGCCATGTCTCTGGAAAGCTACAAATATCTTCTTTTTGGAATTTTCCCTACTCGAAGTGATGAAATCAGCATTTATTAAGCACCTACTGTGTGCTAGGACCTGCACTTCACCGTACTGCTCCTATGGTGGCCGAGGTAAGCCTGAGTCTTTCTGCTACGCCAGCTGCCCGCCTCTTCCCTCCACCCCCCGCCAGGTCGTAAGGGATCTTGGACTATTTCAATGGTATGTATTTTACTATCTTGGCATACAAAGTCTGAGAAATAACTTGACAAATAATAAAATATATAACAAATGGGCTAGAGAGGAGTTTCCTGAAATAACCATGCATCCTAGAGACGCTCCAAAACTTTTTCTCATTTGCATACAAACATTTGCTTTTGAACCCCAGTCATTTGACCTTGACCCCTGTAAACCTATTTTATTATATATTTAAAACGCTGTATGATTAACGCAGAAACCCTTTCTTCGGCACTTTCTCGCCATTGGAATCGCGTCAGTTTCTCAAAGTTCCAAAATAACCTTTCCCGGGCACGGATTCGTACCTCTGCTGGGGAAGGGCGGGGAGCCGCGCAAGACGTGCCGGTGTGGAGCGAGAGCCAGAGAACTTCCAGAGCGAAAGGAAAATAAAACTTATGGCTGGTGTTTGCGCCGCAAGGTCTCCGCCATTCTGAAGTCCCCTGATCCTGGGGGGTCTCGGGTGTCGCCCGAGGAGCGAGCGCCAGAGAGTGGGTTTGCTCCCGACGTCCTTGACCTAAATTTCTGCGCGGTGGCTGGAAACAGGGCGCGGAGCAGGGCGGGCGGCTGGTGCCATCCCCGGATCCAAGCAGCAAGGGCCGGCAAACTTGAATGGAGAGGCCGAACTGGAGAGGGTGGGGGGCGTCTTCTCCCAGGTCTGGGTGAGGAGCCGCGACCAGCTCCCTGCGCTTCCCCCTCTCCCAATCCACCCGCCCCCCGCAACCCATGTGATCCGGGGAAGTCGGGGTGCGCGTCCCCCTAGCCCCGGGCCGGGCCGGCCTGGAGGCGGGGCCCCCCTCGGACCGCGAGGTTCGCGCGCCACCCCCGCGGGTCCGGCCGCCGGGGGCCGTGTGTGCGCGCGCGGGCAGGCGGGGGCCGCACCGGGGTGCGTGACGTCACCGGCATTGGTTACACGACGTTCTAGAACTCCGCCCCACGTGCGCCGGGGAGGAGGGGGAGGAGGAGGAGGAGATGGGGGTGGGG